GTGGGCACGGGCTGTCATTCCTGGGGTGCCGGGCGAGGGGACCGAGTACCGTTGGGCAAAGGAAGCCTCTTCTCCTGCAGCTCCCATTAGCAATCTTGCCAGGGCCAGTAGAATTGTTTTAGCAGGGAGCGTACCAGATGGTGTCGATGACCCGTCATCTTGCCATGCTGGCAGGCAGGATTCCTGGCTAGGCATCTAGTCAGATGCCCGTTTGGATGCTAAAGGCCTCTGCTCCAGAGAAATGGCCTGGGCAGGGGAGAGAGGTGTTTCTTACTACTTACAGTGAATGGCGCATCACCTAGTTTTGTTTTGAATGCACAGATGAACAAATAAGTACATGTTTGTATTTGTGATACAGGAATGTTGCCAGATCAGTCAAACGAAATATGCTGTGAAACATTGGAAGTATTTCCTCCTGAACTAATCTTCTTAAAGTACTTAGTGATGTATGTTCCAAGTTAAATCTTTAGGAGTCATTTGCATTGAGCCATCACTTTAGGCTTCATTGTTTGTATTTTATCTAGGAAACTACCAGACCAGAAAAAACAAGATTGTTGGTTTGTTTTTTTTTTAATTATTCCTTCAGATTTGTTTGAGTTTATCAGATTTTGGCTCTTCATTTGACACAAACACAGTATCCTAATTACTGCTTTCTCTCCCTCACGTTCAGACTGCCTACACCTCTGAGTGGGCAAGAAGCCGTCGAGCAGTGCATGCTTTAATTTTGGCTTTCAGTGGCACATGAGCTCCACAATGGCTGATGGACCCGGACTGTCCCATGCCCTGTGCCGGACAGGCCGGCCCTGCCTTCCCGCTGCTGCAGCGCAGAGCTGCCGGGAGGCGGCAGCACCCCATCTGGCCTGGCTTCTGAACCGCATCGCCTGTACTCATGAAATTATCAGCATCTCATTTGTGCAGCTGTCTGTGTAACACTAGCGCCTGTGGAATATTGCTGTTCTTGTTATCCATCACGGCTGTGCTTATTTGTGAAGATCAGCATGTGTGCAGTGTTGAGAGTGCGAGTCAAATGCTAGTTACTGATCCAAGTCAGGTTGAAGACAAGCAGTGTGGTTCTTAAAATGGCACAAGCAAGGTCTTCTTCAGAACTTAGCCTGGTAATAAATTATGAGGGTCATAGTTCTTAAAGCCCCATAATTATTGATTATAACATGAGATGCTGTTCTTTAAAAACATAAAGGCATTCTTTTAGCAAACTGCTGAAAGGTTGAAAAGATCCCATCCTGGAACCACTTTGCAATATTCTTCCTGTTCTGAAAATGGCACCTGTTCATAAAAATTGATTCTAGAACCCAAGGTGCATTTACTCTTCAGAAGTATTAAACCTTCTGTTGAATCACACAGAGTATTTATTCCTAAGAAGATAAAGGTTCTGTTCTTCCAGCTCTCATTAATGTTTATAGACAACAAACACTTGCATTGGTACTTGTTCTTTTCTGATATCTGTCTCTGTGAATGTTTCTCCATGTTCTTAGTTTCCCGTCAAGGTAACTCTCCAAAGGACTGTAGAAAATCAGCCTTCGTGGAGGCCCTCTGTGCTATGGAGCTGACTGTATTATTGTTGTTGTTGTTACCCAACTGACTACAAACGGCTCACAACCCCAGACAGTGGGGCAGCATTTCTGATCTGCTGGAAGGTGGTATCTCCATTTTTAATTGAGCATCTTGAATTTTGTTTCTTTCAGGGAGCATTGTGAGCGTGGGAGATCCTAAGAAGAAATACACTCGATTTGAAAAAATTGGCCAAGGGTAAGTCCAATCACAGTTACTTATACAAAAACATGGGCCAGGTGTTTTGCTGGTGTAATATCAAGCGTGAAGTCAGGCAAGCTCCAAACACGTTCAGACACTAGGTTTAGATTCAGATTCTCCTGTCTCTCAGTACTGATCAGAATTTATAACTGTGGTCAGAAGGCATCATCAAAGACAACTTGGTGCTGGCAATATCTTGTCTGCAGCAAGGAGCAGGACCTGGAAGATCTACTGTCCCTCAAGTGTGTGGCACCTGTTTGCTTATTTTCTTAGGAGAAATCATTTTTGTATGTCTCAAAATAATATGGCCATGCTAAAGAAAGGAGAAGAAACTTTATTCCCTAAAAAAGCAACCTACCACCTGATAGTTGTCAGATAAATAACAGTTCTCAATAACATTTCTTTCAAATATTTTGCTTAAAAAAATATTCAGTGATCAGGATTATAACCACATAGTTTAGAAACTGAAACCAGAGATTAAATAATAAGCTCGCTTTTCTAGCAGAGGCAGTAACAAAAAAAAATTCAGTAACAAACACGGTGTCAATGTACAAAGTGTGTGATGAGAAAATGCATCATCTGCCTGATGGCAGACCACGCAGGGATCCTGCAGGTTTTAGGAGCTTACTGAAAATAATCAGCCGAGCTATTCCCTTTTGAAACCCAACTTTGCTTACTGTAAATAGGAAATATTTCAAATCAATCCTATGTGAGAAGGCAAGAACAAAAGAAATCACATCAAAATTGGGTATCTGACTTGCATTTTAAATACAGACAGACTCCCTGCTCGGTCAAAGTTTTCTTGGCTGTGTTGTAAATGCAGGAGGGCTAGCGCCATTTGTGTAACACCAGGATCACACTGCTGTCAGTGTGTGACAGAAGCTGTTTACTGACATCAGGAGATATTTTTCTGCCTTAACTGTTGATGAGGTTTGAACTCAGGGTAGCATGTTGCTGACCTAGAACTGATACATACTGCAGAAAGCCAGACACACTCATGCTCTTTCTCTAGCAGGCTTTATCACAGATATATCTTGTTTGGTAGGGTACTTGTGGGAAGGTGTTTCTGCTCCATTCATTGTATGAGGACCCTTTTGTTCAGATTCCAGCTTGCTTTCTACCCGAAGCTTTGGTTCTTACTGTCATTTGTAAAATGTCAGTGGACACTTAGAGCTGTGCCAGTATCTCAAAAGATAAGTGTCAGCTGAAGAAGTGAGAGAATAAACATGCGTGTGAAACAGATTATTGCTGTCACCATGAGAATATGACCATCACCCTCACAATCTTTTATTTTGACAGTCCTAAGACTGAGCTTTTACAAAGGTGCCTCAACAACTGGTGGAAAGACAAGTGGCTAATATCTGGCCTAAAAGGGTACCTAAATTGATTTCCTCCAGCTTTTAGTACAGCCTGAAGATTGCATGCCCTTCTTACAGAGGAGTGAGTGTGCTGCCGTAACCAGCTCATGACTGCAGTGCCACAGGTCAATTTACAGTGATGGGGAAAGATCCTAAAGAAAAAAATCATCACAAAGGTAATCAAACAGGATGATCAGGAGGAACCGGACTGCTGCATGGCTGGAGTTAGCGTGTCTGTCTGCAGCAGGGCTGGGCTGAGATGCACTGCCTCAGATGGTGCTGATGTGCTTAGGTGGTGCAGGTGCCGGTTCCTGAGCTGCCCGCCTTTGCAATGAGTTGGGTACAGTTATGCCAAAGGCACTACTAGTGTTGGAAGTGAGTAGTGTTTAGTAGCTGCTAATGAGAGCACTGCAAGGCAGCAAGAGACGTGGCTGCTCAGAGAACTGCAGGTAGAGAGCAACTTCTTACATAAGGAAAAGCAACTTAACCGGCACGTAGCACTCAATGGCTGCATACAGGTGGTAACTTAATAAACAGCGTGATGGTTTTACAGCCATTCTGCAGTGAACAGTAGTCAGCAGGCCTGTACTGAAGGAACAGGTCAGCTTCAGTGCTGAGTCTCTTGTTTGTCATCTGTCTCCGGTTGAGGACTGAAAATGCTGCTGACACCAGAGGAAACTTAGTTAACTAGTGCTTGATAAAGAGGCTGTGTTTGCTCAAGCAGTGTTAGCTCTTGCTAGAAAGACAAATGAGTATGGAGCCATGAGCAGCCTGGGTTCAGGTTGTTTTTTTTAACTTGTACTGCACTGCATCAGTGACACAGATCTAATTGTGGGCCCTGGTACTTATAGAATCATAGAATCGTTTAAGTTGGAAAAGACCTTTAAGATCATCACGTCCAACCGTTAACGTAGCCCTGCCAAATCCACCCTAAACCATGTCCCTAAGCACCACATCTACACGGCTTTTAAATACCTCCAGGGATGGTGACTCAACCACTTCCCTGGGCAGCCTG